AGCCCTGTCTTTCTCCTTTGGAGTAGTGGGGGGAGAATTTGAACCACTGACCTTGTGGTTAGCAGCTCAATGCATAACCACTATGCTACCAGGGCACCTCCTTTTCCAAAGGACTTTTTCATGGGCCACGTTCAGTACCGGTGTTTTTAGTGCTGAATTGCCCGTTAGATCAGTTATAGCAATTTCTAATCCCGTATATATTCGAGTATAAGCCGACCCAACTAGCACCCGAGACACTTAATTTTACCACAAAAACTGCATTGAAAATGTGCTGACCCCATCGACTCGACTGGCAAACACTCTTAAAGGCCAACAAACAGACCTTGAACTATTTATAGGCCTGTCCATTTTTGTCAGTGGCTTTCTTTTTGTTATTGTTGTGGTTGTTATTGTTTTGTTGGTCTTGACTTTCTTTGTTGTTTTATTTGGCTTTGCTGAGTTTTTGCGCTTATTAATGTGTCTGCATGTCTATCTAGATAAGATATGTGGGATAAATAATTTGGAGATGAAAAGAATGGGACCATTGGTTTCAGGGGGATGTGGGAGAAAGGAAGGGGGTGGGAACCAACCCAGGGACAAGGGAACAACAAGTGAACTAAAATCAATGGAGAGAAGGGCATAGAATGCCTAGTGGAGCTTAATCAAGGCAATGTAGCAGTGAGAAATTACTAAACACGAATGAAGGCCAAACATGATGGTGGGACAAGAAGAAAGTAAAAGGAAATAGAGGAAAGAACCATGAGGCAAAGGGCATTTATAGAGGCCTAAATACAGGTATGTGCATATGTAAATATATATAATGAGAGGGGAATAGAACTATGTACTCATATCTATATGTTAAGAATTGAGGTTGCAGATGGACATTGAGCCTCAACTCAAGTACTCCCTCAACACAAGAACACTTTGTTCCAACAATCCGGCATTCTGTGATGCTTACCTTCCTGACACGATCGCTGAAGACAAAATTGGTGGGTGCATAAGAAAGCTGATGGTGCCCTGGGGGTCTGGGGTCTTAAAGGCTTGAAGATAACCAAGTGGCCATCTAGCTGAGAAGCAACAAAACCCACATGGAAGAAGCACACCAGCCTGTGTAATTATGAGCTGTGATGGGATCAGATATCAGGCATCTAAGACCCAGAACAAAATCGTACCCAAGGTGAATGGGGTGGGGGCATGGAGACCCAATGCCCATCTGTAGACAATTGGTCATCCCCCTACAGAGGGGTCACAGGGAAGAAATGAGCCAGTCAGGGTGCAATATAGCACCGATGAAACATACAACTTTCCCCTAGCTCTTTGGTGCTTCTTCCCCACCCCCCTATCATGACCTCAGTTCTACGTTACAAATTGGATTAGACCAGAACATGCACACTGCTACAGATAAGAGCCCAAAACAGAGAATCCAGGATAGATAAACCCCTTGGGCCAACAATGAGAGTAGAGATACCAGGAGGATTAGGAACGGTTGGGGGGAGAAAGGGGGAATCGATCACAAGGATCAACCTATAACCCCCTCTAAGGGGGAGGAGCAATGGAAAAGTGGGTGAAGAGTGATGGAGGATGATGTACAATATGAAAATAATCTATAACTTACCAAGGGTTCGAGAGGGAGGAAGGGAGGGGGAAGAAATGGGGAGCTGCTATCAGGGGCTCAAGTGGGAAGAGAATGCTTTGAAAATGAAGGCATATGTGCAAATGTGCTCGACACACTGGATGAATGTATGGACTATGATAAGCGATGTAAGAGCCCCCAATAAAAGTATTTAATTAAAAAAAACGTGCTGAAAAAACTCGGCTTATACACAAGTATGTACGGTATTTTGCCACTTAGCTCTATCAATACTGGGGGCTATCATTTTATCCAGTGCTGAGTTTCCACACCATTTGCTGGCTTTGACTTACCTAGCTGCAGACCCCATCCTGCTCTGGTCCTTCTTGGTGCCCCTGGTACAGAGAGCATTCCTTTCTCCACATGGAGTCTCTGCTCCTTGGCCTTCCTCACACGCTCTGCCAACCCTGCACACATGCTTCTCCCCACTCCTGAAAAAGAGTAACGGATTTTGCGTTTCTTCCTCGAATCCCGCCCCCCCCCTGCAGTTAAAAAAAAAAAAAAAGGAAATGGGAATAAGCTTATCAAACAAATATCCTACAGGTGTTTCCTTATGGTCCTCTGCACAGTTGTTCACTTGGCATCGAGAGGCTCTGTGCATTCGGTAACACCTGTGCCTTTGTTGGCGGGTTCCAAAGCTTCCCATTCACGGGCACAATCCAAGTTCACCTTGCCTGAAAACCGGACTTTGCATTCCAGTGAGGTGTTTCTGCCAACCCACGTCTACATAATTAATATTTCCCGTTATCATTAGCGCCTATTGTTAGGTAGCTTCCAGTGGGTGGGTTGGGGGCTGTGTTTTGTTGGGGTGGTGTGTGTATGTGTGTGGGAAACCAGATCTGCAGAGCTGCAGATCCCCGGGGGTGTGGACAGATGCACCTTCACCTGCGCCCCTCCTGGTTCTCAGTGTTTTCTTTGTTTTTCCTTTATTTCTCCTTTTCAAATGATGAAAGCAGTCTAGCTGCAGGCAACGATTCTGATGGAAACAGCTGCCAATAATCCCACCACCCTGTATAATTACCTTTGCTCTCAGCTTAAATGCATATTGAGTTTGCATTGTTGTAATCATAGTTGGTGAGTGTGTTTGTGTGTTTTTTTTTACTTAACCCTGTAAGCAGTTTTCCTATTTTGCTACATAGATTTCATGATGCGAATTTTTATTGACTGCATCACAACCCACTAGCAGGATTTGTCCACTCCCTGTTACTGGGCCTTGAGCTTGTGTATGTGTATGTACATCTCTCATCTCGTTGCAGCAGACAGTGTTGCATACAACTCTTGAGATGTTTGGCCTGTATCTTGCGGTAAAGTTCTAGAAGTGGGCTTCCAGGACAAGGGGCTGGCATTTATTTGGTTTGGTGTAGCTGCCCTACTTCTTTCTTTTTTTTTTTTTTAACATTTTATTAGGGGCTCATACAACTGTTACCCCAATCCATACACACATCAATTGTGTAAAGCGCATTTGTAC